AGAATGATTTTTAGATGAATATGATGATGTGATAAACACAAATTTTAGTTGAAATAGAAGAAATTTTGTATTTTTAAATAAAAAAAGTGAAATTTTACTATATAATTTAGAAACTCAACAAATTTATATCCTCAAATAAAAAATTGACTAAATTAATATCATTATCCACACTTTTTCTCTTCTTGTCCCTAAACTCTCAACGTCTCGTTGGTAGGTTATTATGGTTTTAGTACTATAATCAAAATAAATTCTTGAATTCAACACTGCAGCAGAGAAATTATTTTAGAACCTGAGCAGAACATGTAAAGGCATACGACTGTGGACGAGTTTTTTTATTTTAATTAATTTCTATATTTACGATTGGTGTTTAGATGTCAACTTTCACACATTTAAAAAAAAATTTAATTTTCTTGGATATTAGTGCTAAAACTTAAATCTTGAATATTTTAACTTTTTGCAATTATAGTTAGGATGTCCTTGGGCTAATGCCTCCCCAAACAATGTTAAGAGCACACTCCACATGACCTAGTGTATTCAATCAAATTAATTTTCCTTGGATACTAACCAAATTGAACCTGGCCTTCAAGACACACTTGCTTACCAACCATTGGAGTTAGATATTGACACTTGCTTACCATTAGATTTAACTTTTGAAGTTATTTGGCAGAGCTTAATGCAAATCTTGTTCTCAAATCTGAAAATTTGTTGGGGGCAAGACTTTACTTTTGTATTTAAAGTGACGTATAAACAAATTTCCCTAATGCAAATTTCCTTTGAAATTTATTTTCAAAAACTATTACCAATTGATTTCTACTTTTGTTCGGTTTCTTCATTTTCATCTTACAGTTGGGAATGTCTAGTGCAACTGAGACGCTATGCGGGCAAGCATTCGGGGCAAAGCAATACCACATGCTTGGAATTTACCTTCAAAGATCATGGATTATCAACCTCTGTACAGCAACAATCCTTCTGCCAGTATTTATCTTTGCGGCGCAAATTTTCAAATTAATTGGAGAAGAAGAAGAAATAGCAAACAGTGCGGGGTACATTTCCTTATGGTTCATCCCAGTTCTCTACTCTTTTTCCTTCAGCTTTACCATCCAGAAGTACTTGCAGACACAGCTTAGGAACAGAATAATCGCATGGCTGTCTGCAGCATCATTTGTGCTTCATGTTTTCATGTCCTGGCTCTTTGTCCTCAAATTCAATTGGGGGATTCCTGGTGCAATGAGTTCAATGATCATAGCAAATTGGTTGGTGATAATTGGAGAGTTCGTATACATCTTTGGGGGTTGGTGTCCCAATACCTGGAAAGGGTTCACAGTTGCATGCTTTTCGGATTTGCTTCCTGTAGTAAAGCTCTCCATATCCTCAGGAGTGATGCTCTGGTGAGTTTTCACTTTTTTTTTTGATGCATCAAAATTTAACTACTTACCCATTGCAGAGATTTAAATCTTAAACCATAATAGTAAATAGGTTTTATAGTTATTGAGTACTAATTATTCGGCTTTGCCTGTGTTAATACGCTCTGTTGAGAGTTTACAAGATACTTGGTTTCTATATATTGTCAACAGCTTGGAGTTATGGTACAATGCAATTCTAGTCCTCCTAGCAGGATACATGAAAAATGCTGCAGTCGCGATAGCTGCCTTCTCTATCTGGTAAAATTCCTTGCACCTGTACCACAATTTACCCTTTTTTTTTTCTTTTCTATATAAAGATTTAGAAACAAAAGCTGATGTTAAACTCAAACAACATTTTGCAGTCTTAATATCATAGCTTGGGAGTTCATGCTCTGTCTTGGCTTCCTTACTGCTTCTAGGTACGGATTCATTTATAGTTCATCAATAACCATTTCAATTAATTTCCACAATTGATCTTTCAAATTCCTCCATGAATTTAATAAAATTCTTTTGGACAGCGTTCGAGTTTCGAATGAATTGGGGAGAGGAAATGCCAACGCTGCGAAGTTTGCAATCAAAGTCATAGTATGTACTTCAATTATTATGGGAGTGTTCTTCTGGGCTCTATGTTTAATATTTGGTAAACAAATTGGCTACTTGTTTACAAGTGAAAAAGAAGTAGCAGAAGCTGTGTCCCAGCTCTCTGTCCTGCTTTCTTTCTCAGTTCTGCTCAACAGTATTCAGCCAGTGCTCTCAGGCAAGTATATTAGAAATTGGTAACCTTCTAGTTCTTTACAAGGATACCTTGAGCTTGTACAAATAGGGGTAGCATTTTTCCCGATCCCTATGATTGTTGCCAAGGGAAGAAATATTCTTCCCTGTGGAGGGGGAATGGGACAATTTTTCCCTTGAAATTTCGAAGGTTAAAACCCCTTTTTGGTCCCTGAACTATTGTACGGACCCCAGATTTGGTCCCTGAACTAAAAAAATCCCTGATTTGGTCCTTACTGTTTACCATTTTTACCCCGATTTGATCCTTCCGTTAAAAATTGTGTGACGTGGCATGCTACTTAACCGTTACCAGATGACATATCATATAGTAATATAAAAAGTGATGATGTGGAAAAAAAAGTGATGATGTGGAAAAAAAATAATATAAAAAAATATTATGAAAAATAAAACTTAAA